GATTAGGGTTTAGGGTTTTAAATTGTAACTTAAAGGGCAATATGGGTATTTTAATTTGTGTAGGGGGTTTATCAAATTAAGATTAGATTTGAGTTTTTGACTAGAGAAGAAAAATACATAGGACCTATTCGTATATATTTTCAAAACTATGGGGTTATCCCACATTTCCCCATATATATATATAATTCATATAGTAAAAATGTCAACAAATATTTTATCTGAATCTAGGAGTGTAAGCCACCGTTTGATAGAATTAAGCACTGAATGCTGAATGCTGAATAAACATCTGAATTATTAAGAGCTATGTCTGAATACTGAATACTGAACGAATAAGTTTGTTTGGTAATGCAACATCTTGATGTATTTTTACTATATTAACCTTGAAATTTGTTGAACAAGTAAATTCAATTACGAATTGAATTATCAATAATATTTAGATAAAGTTATTGATAAATTGTAAGGCTTGTAACTATTAGATTATCTTATTTTGATTGAAATAAATCCGTCTAAAGATAAATATAATCCAAATTTTTAACATATAAAAATAAATTTAAAATTGTTTATTAGAATACTATTTTATGCACATAAATTTCTTCTAATAAAGTGGAAGAAAAACTGAAAATTTGGTTTAAAAATAATTAAATAATTTTATATTTTCGTGAAGATATAAAAATGCCACATCCATTTTTCCCACAAAAATCATTATTGTATCCATTAAGTAAAATATATTAAAAAAACTCTCCACTTATCCTTCTCTTTTATATACAAATTTGCTAATTTTCTCCCAAAAAAATTTCTAACTTAAATGGAGGCGGTGGTGGTGAGTTTGGAATATTTAATTCTTGATATGGATAAATGTGTTCAAATTTACTATATTTGCTCTCTGAATGAACAAGCCCAATATTTGCGGCTGAATAGGTAAGAGACTGTTGGCTTGGTTCAGATGCAAATTTCAAACATACTAAATCTGGTAATCTCTTACCGAATCAGAAATTGTCCA